CTGTTCTCTTTGGATCAAAGGTGCTGATATGTTTCCTGTAAAACTATTTTCAGGGTGAATCCTTTAGGTTTTTTTATTACTGTAATGATCATCTGATCTTAAAATTTATGCAGCTATTAAAGTCCATTCTGTGTTTCATTAATCTTTAAGTGAACAGAGTTACGTCTTCAGTGTCAACTGTAAATGAGGGTGTTTATACGTGTTTTTTTGTTCTAAAACATCTCAGTATTGTCTTTTGTTGTATAAAAATAAATGCCATTTAGTTTAGATATAGTACTGGGGTTGAGACAGAGCAGTGCCTGCACTCAGAGTAAAGGTGTAGAGGAGAGGGTGGAAGTTGTGTGTCCTTGGGGTGTGAGTTCCTGAGTGCCTGCCTCTCTGTTGCCTTTTGAACTTTTGCATGTTTCACAAAAGCATTCCCAAGCACTATTTTTAAACTCCTCAATAACTTACAAGTTAAAAATAGCTCATTAATTTGCAGGCAGTGTTGTTTTCAGCAAGGCTGAGCTCCTCTGCTTGTTAGCCTTGAGCAAGCTGCAAATCTCTGCTTGCCTTAGTTTCCCCCACAGCCAAAAGGAGGTTAATAACTACCTTGGAGCTCTCTGAGATCTACTAATAGAAAGCCTTTTGTAACAATAAACTGCTGCAATAATTGCTATTATTACCGTACCTATTCTGTGTATTTTAAAGCCTATGGTGGTATTAATGTCTTAATAAGGCTGCATCGTCTCACTGATGACTCCAGAGGGCAAATCAGACCACCAAAATTAGGCTTTTAATTTTGAATTTATTTCAATCAGGGTAGTCCTCTGGAGATTTCAGTCTCTCTCCACTACTTGTAGAGAAAATATAGCAAAGTTTAAGTCCCATCAGTAAGGCTGGATTTAATTTTGCTAAACTTGAGCAGTGACCAAGTTTGGTGCCTTGACTATGGTGGTGTCTCAGCTCTTTCTGTTCACTGGAGAAAGAGGGGACATGATTCTCCAGCCTTCAGTTTCCAGGCTGAGATTATCTGACCTTGAAGTTCTTCTCTCTGGCTACAGTGGGAGGAAATTTAGGTGGCAAGCTGCATCTACATGCCTGAATTTAAGAAAGCTAAAGAGAAATCATGACTGAAAGGACTCAGATTCCTATCCAAGTTCTGCTAGTTAATGTGTGTTGTTTCCTATGGTGAAGTATGAAAGTATAGTAAAGTTTCAGCATCAAGGCAGAGTGATTGTTACAGGATTCATGCTTTAACCTGCAGTTGAAATTTTATTACTGATTTCTCCTTTTTGCTTCTCCTGACACTGTAATAAATTAAGGGATAACAGGAGTGTGGATCTTACCACACAGTTTAGACTGCTGAACGTTGAGATCTGGCTCTGTGAAAAGCCATGGTAGTGGCTAGCAGATAAGAAATTACTGACCTTTCTGTTTTGTGAGCTTAAAGTAAAAGTTGGTATGTGGAGACCTGACTTTTTCTGCACGTGGCTTCTGATTCAGTTGCCCTGCATGGAATTAGTTGTGATGAGCTCTGTAAATTTAGGGAAATGCTGCCCCATGATGACCTCTGCCTCTGAATTCTTTAAAAAAAGAAAAAAAGCAATCTTTCCATTCCCCCGTTAATGTTAAGTGTCAACAGCTGTCTTTTGCTGCTGGTACTTAACCACTTTCAGCCTTGTCTTTTCCAAGCATTTAGTACTTTAGAAATGAATTAAAGCTTATAATCAGGAAAATGTAAGTCTTCCAGCTACCTTGGCTTCTCAAAAGATGCTAATTTTTTTCTTACGTAGGTTGTTTAAATTGCCAATCTGGGAACCTCTTAATTGTGCTACACTGAATTTTTATTCTGGCATGGTTTGTTTTGGGATCTGTTTTTCTATGTGTTGAAATCCTGTTACAAGGAGTTTTTTTAGTCTAAACAACTGCAGATAAAAGTCACAGCTGTTGTTGTTAATCTTTCTACATTTTCAACCTGAAAAAAATTTTCCCTGACTTCCTGGCTGAAGCCAGTTGTCCTTATTTCTTGGTACCACACATTCACTTTGCATCACATCCTTGGATGATCATGTCGTTGGCTGGGGTTGTATCATTTATTTACAAGTTTAACCCCTGCTGACCTTTTAGGAACGGAAAAGGAAACAGGCTTTTAAGAATGAAGGATTTTTAGAGGGGTTTTTTTAAATAATGCCTTCACTGCAGTGTTCACTTAGTTGTACTTGTCTGCAGCTTAGTATATTGGGGGGTTTTTGTTTGGTTTTAAGAACATGTAGGCATTTATTGCATATTTCTTCTTTTATATATGCTGTAAATCCTAGGATTTATTGCAGCATCATTGCTGTTATCTTGGCCTTGTTGGTCATTTACAGGTGATAGGTATGAATAACCCTGGTGTCAGGAGTCAGTCATTTCCAAATCTGATCCTGAAAGGCAAGGCTGAGAAAAGCAAAAATAGATCTCTGCTGTGATTACTTTGTAAACTGGCAGCTTGTTTTTTCTAGATTGTTAAATTGGTGGCTATTACACTGAAAAATATAAATACAGTATGTAAATTATATTGAAAATATTTTTGCCTGTTTGATGTATAGTAAATTTAAGCTAAGTTATAAGGTGTGCTGTTTGGAAGTGTGGAAGATACAAGAGTGGAGCTACAGATAACAAGTTTATGCTTGTATTTCCTACTGATGAAGACTTTCACACACGTTATTTCTATGGGTAGGTGATGAGAATATCACTCTGCATGTATATACATATATTATAAATTTTTGCATGATTATACATGTAGGAGTGGTACAATTTTGACTTGAGACTATTGGTGCCTTTTGTCCAAATATAATTTTACTTGTGTAGACACATCTGTCTAAAACCAGATTTTGCTTCTGCTTTTGGAGATCTTAGTAAGAAGCAAGAGAATCAAAGACCTGAAGCAACAGTACATAGCTCCTGAAATTTTAGTTAACCTATTGGAAAAAATGGTCAAATAGTCAATATTGTACTTGACCCTCGTATCTTCTGCACTCAACTGTTTTATTTTTGTAGATCATGTTATATATGTTCCCACAGAACTTGGGCGATAAGGCTGAAAGAAAACATGCCTCTCATGATTCAGTCCAGTTGTAAATTCTGCATGTAATTTAATCATCGGTTTTCACAAATAATTAACTGAACAACAGCCAGCTCGAAGTTGAACTTGGTATTCCATTGTTTTTCAATTGCCTTTCAAAAAGACAAAGATTGCCTTTCAGTTAATTATCAGGAATTCCCCGGTCATAATCATCAGCATTTCATGTTTCAAACAGTTTGGTCTTTAATACATTGGCATTTAACTACGCATTTATTTTTGTTCGTTCTGTTTTAAGTTTGTAATATAGCATTGTTTTATGCAGTTGTTGTTTTGGACGCAAGTCTGACCAGAAATATTTTGTGAATGTCTTCATACCTTGTTCCAAAACTGATATTTTGTATGACTTAAGCAATATGGTCACTCTTTAATTGCTAATCACAATACAGTATTATTATTTTTTTTAATAATAAGTTGAATTTGCTTCAGGGACCAAGTTGCAAAAAAACAAATGAACAAACAAAAACAAAAAACCCACCTCAAACCAAAACCAGACCACTCTAAAAACCTCTGTAGAAGCTGCTTTTTACTAAATTTGAAATTTTGAAATTTTATTTCTGTCTTTGACAGCCACTTAACACTCCTAAAAAAAATCATTATTTTCTGAAAACTCTTTTCCTTTTATTCTTAACGTCTTTTAAGTATTTATTTAGTAATTTTGTTACTCTAAAGATCCTGTCTTCCTAAACACATTATTTGGTTATGATTATATTATCCCATATATATTATACCCTCTATGTGTCATACCCATAACAAAAAACTCCTGCAGACATTCCACTCTCAGAACTTCCTTGGAGTTAAAGAACTGCAGTAGCAAATTTGCTGAGCTTTGGCCCAACCTGTTTTTTGTATTTCACACATTTTTGTGGATGAAATGTTGGACTAAAGAAAGTTTTGATTCTGCCATTTGAGGAGTGGGTACTCCAACCACTTTCACCCACTTTGAGTCAATAGGCTGTAGCTGAGATGAGGCATTTGAGTTACTTAGAATTACAATATTTGTCCATTTTCTCTCTCTGCTGCTTCCACATTAATCCTTGTCTTGAATCTGACTTTTTTCTGAGCCTCTTCTGTTTCTAGTTTGCTTGTCAATTATAAATTATTTTCATTCCTCACAAAGAAAATAGTCCATCCTAACAGAATAGACCTAAAATACCTTTTTGTTATTCCTCAAGAATATATTTTAGAGTCATGTGAGCAATTTTCTGTCCCTCTTTCCCCCTTCACTTTGGTGGCCAAAAATGAATATGTTAATAAAATTGAATTAAGAGCATATGTATCACTGCACATCATAGTTTTGCTTCCTGTATTCTTCATCGTAAAAAAGCAACACCAAAAAACATTGCCATTTTGGAAAATTCCCCTGTCCTTGGCAGGTAAATGTTATGAAAGGAAAATTGCCTAATGTTAAATTTATTGTCACTGGATCAGTTATATCAGAAAGTTATTTTTATTCAATCAACTCTAAAGTAATGTAATCTAATGCTTGAATTTTGTAAAATTCTCTAGAAAATGTCTTGCCAAATTTAATGTCCTGTAACTTACTATTTTTTATTTTAAACTGAAGGTTTTATCTTTTTTAAGATTGTAAATGCAATGTTATCAGATACAGATATGTTTATATGCTAATATGAAAGATATTACACAAATAACTGATACATTGATAAACATGGTTTTTTTTACATTTGTGTTTTCTGTGTATGCAAAGGTTAAAATGTCTCTGTAAACTAAGACTGTGTTCATTAACTCAAATTTAATAATTCAGATAATTTATAGTTCCTCAAAGAGATTAATGTAGGAGGTTGCATTAATCCTTGAACAAATTATTTGTACTTTTAAAGGTGTCTTTCACAGCATGCTGACCTCTAATGCACGTTGCTTTTCTCTCCTTTTGCAGATGGACCTCCCGTTGTAGCTCATTACGATATATCAGACACAAATTCAGACCCAGAAGTGGTAAATGTGGACAATCTGTTGGCAGCTGCAGTAGTTCAAGAGCACAATAACTCTTTAGGAAGTCAAGACTCGGGATCTACCTGGAGGACCAGAGGGCTGCTACATGAGCTAAGTGCTGATACAGGTTTGTTTAAATTCTTTCCCTCTATCATGTGTCAGAGTCTCAGTTGGTGTCTCTCCCTTTCTTACTCTTAGGATTTTTGCAACTTACGCAGCTTTAAAAGCTCCTTGTGTGGATTTTGCAGTCAAACAGTATGAGTGCTTATTAAAAATGTCTGACATTTGTTGAAAACACAACTGATAAAAACTGACAAAGATTCCCGCAATGTGTTTATTGACACTAATTTTCATAATTATTTTTTCTCCTTGTTGTCTCTCTAATTACTCCTTGGAACTTAGGTCTGGGGTTTTGGTGGTGGTTTGTTTTTTCTTTTAAATTAAAGTGAATTAAGCTTGTTACTGAATGGTTGGTTATGATGACCCACATTACCAGCTAGTAAACCAATCATAATCTCATTTTAAGTACTGTATTTGCGGATGTCTTTTTTGTGTCTTTATTTCTTTAAAACACAAGCATTAAGCATTCCCATGTTCCATCAACACTTCTAACACACCTTAGAAAATTGGACAGACCAGCATCAGATGAAGGGTGCTGGTAAGAGGGCTTAGCATCAAGAGACAACACAGAATTTTCCTTCAAGAAAGCAAGAGCAGGAATACTGTGAAAGAATTCAGAGAAGTTCATGTAACTCATAAGCACTTGTAAGCACTTTAGTAAGTGCTTACAACTTTTCACTAACAAAAAGAGTTAAACAACAGTGTGAAATGCTCATGTGTTTTGGATGCAGGAAGCTAACAGAGTATTTCCTATCAACTCCATTCCATAGCCTTGCATGTCAACATATGCCTTCCTTTCCACTGTTTGTTTTTAATACCAGGTTACGATTTTTACCTGTGTAAGACATGCAGCCTTGCCTGCAGTGCTGGAGCACAGCCATTTTTTGTTTCGTGCTGTGTTTTCCTTAGATGAGCTTGCCAAAGGACACCTACATTGCAAGTGTCCTGGTAGCTTTGAACTACTTTTTGATGTCTGTAAGGCTTAAAGAAATACAAGTAAGTAGCAGATTTTTAAATAAATGTTCCATTATTGTATAGTGGATGAGTCCATTAGTTGAACATGAGGATCTCTGTTGCATTTTTTTCACAGTGGTCTGTGGCTGGATATTGTTCCATCCTCTTTGAGGCCAGCCAGTGTTTTCCATGCTCACTAGTACTGTTTGCAGTGTAGCAGCTGACTGATACCTATTTGATCTCTAACAAGCCCACTCCTTTGTAAAGTGATTTATCAAACAATTAGAATGGCTGAGTTTATTTTATAACACTAATAATTTGGTAAGTCAAAGAAGTGTAAGGAAATAAAAGGTAATGTTTCTTACCAAGCTTTCTTCCACTTCTTACTTACAATGCTGCAGTGCAGGTAGAAACTTGTGTTCCTTCTTCTACCTGTATCCAAGGGACTTGCAAGGAAGAGATTAGCAGGTAAAAGAAAACTAGAAAGCTTCAAGAAACTTCTTTATCCTGTATAGGAACAAATTTGCTTCTAGTGCTATGGCCATGTCAACATCTGGAAGGATTAATCTCTTTCTTCTGTAGCCTTGCTGTGTTTCTGACTGCATGTTTGTCAGTACTGGCCTTTTCTTCCATGGTCTCATTTTTTTACCATTTCACATTTGGAAAGCAGAATTTTCAGATCTTGCCTTTTGTTCCTAAATGTAATCTTCAGCCAGTATCTAGTTTAACAGACAATAAATGATGTATTCCCATGGGGAAATAACAACATAAAAGCTTTATCTACATGAAAAATCTTATTAGGACATAGTGTCACATCTTTGTGCATGAGCAAGTACTTGGGGCTGTTTTGCAAGCCCTGATGTTGTTGGACAAACAAACCATCTCCTTTGGGCATCATCTTAATGTTTGTGCAAAGAAATTAACAGCATAGGCATGTTCTTAGGTATGAAATTTGTATGGCCAGAGGCTGTAAATCTGTCTGTGTGCTACAATCCTGACTTAAACTCAGCTGTTGTTGCAATATTCACTATGCTAATCATGGTTTCTCCACTGCTGATTAACTTTTTGCTGCCTAAACTGAAAGCAGTGGCAACACATGAAGGCTCTTTTGGTGCTCTCATTTACAGATGCTGCGACTCACCTGAGGGCTATATAAGAGCTGTTCTGCTTTGCCCCTCTGCCAGGCATCACCCTGTCTAGCAAAGAGTGCAGAGTCCTTGTACATCATTAATACAACATATTAAGGCAGGATGATATCCATAACAGTTTCTGTCAGTCAGTGATCAAGGGCTATGTGTCAGTTCTGCTGCCTGTGCTGCAGCATCAAGGATGTGCAGGAACAGGATGATGCCAGTCACAGGGGTGGTGGTGACATAATGCCCCTGGTTTGCATCACCAGGACATGAATCAGAGCCTCTTAGCTCTCCCATGTCATGTTTCACAGTGTGCCCAGCCACTCTTATTCAAGAAATACTCATGACACATTTTGGGACTTTTTGGCAGTCATTGATACTTGCCAAGAAGCATTCAGCTGAACTGTAATGTTAGGAAAAGACTGCCTGGGCTATTAATTTGAGTTCAGCTGACCAGTCTTTTTAGTCTTCTGAGGTTGAAGTTCCTCCTTCAGGTAAATGGAAGCACACAGGTTTCCTTCCCTTGCTAACTCTGATCAGATGTTGCACCAAAGGTCTTTGCTTTGTGAAAACTGAACAGTCTGGATTGTGCCACTCTATCTGCTTGCATCTTTTCCCAGTACTTTAAGCAGTCATTATGAGGTTTTCCTGGCAACTTTTAAAAAGTTTAATTATTTCACTCTGTCCTCTTGATTTACTTGGGGGTCTTATCAGTTCTGAATTTTCACACACTTTTGAAATTCTCTGTTATTTCATCTACCTCCTGTCATCTTTGAAGAGGTGTCTGGTCAAACCAGACATATGTAATACATTAAACTTAATTTCAAATTTCTGGCTCAACAAATGGTTCTTACCCTGTGTGATGCAGCTGAATGGTCTCCAAGAAGTAGGTAGTGTCATCTGCTCTAGGGCTGCCCAGCTTCCCCTAGGTCACTGCTAAAGAGAGACAGAAGTAATTTTGTTGATGTTGGGTTGGGGGGGAAGTAGAAGTTATTTTTTTATTGAAACATTTTTAAATTAAATTAAGAATGAAACTGCATTTTAATGACAAACATTTTAATGAAGAAAAAAAATATTTTTTCTTGGTGTACGTGATGTTTCTTTCCAGCTTATAAGCTTTGTTTGCCACAGTGTCATTGAGTTTGATTTATTGACAGTAGATTGTTTTGTTTCTTTGTTTCAGAGAGACTGAGGCACAGTCTAACTCTTAGCATTGCCATAAAACAACAGCTGGAAAGCCTAATTACGTGAAGTATTTTTGATGCAATAGTCTGTCTATGTCCACAATTTTTTGGTAATACCATCACTAGAGCTACTGAGACTGGATAAATCCAGTGGTCATCCTGTATCAAGTGATCAACAGAAGTTGGATAATTTTTGACCTAATACAATTTTCCAGTCTCAGTGTTTTAATCTTTATTTTGTTAGCTTGGAAAATTCCTGTTCCAGCTGATTTCTGAGTGGTGCAAGCTGTTAAACATTGACTGTATTTGCATTTTCCCCATCTTTAGGTCATTTGGATCCAGGCTTCCTTGCAAGTGACAAAACCTCCTCTGGTAATGCCCAGATCAATGAAGAAATTAATATCGCCTCTTCTGATAGCGAAGTAGAGATTGTTGGAGTTCAGGAACATGCCAGGTATCAATTCCTTTTGCTTGCTCTGAGACTTCTTTCATTTTATCAGAATATCTGTACTGCCAAAATTAATAAAGAAAGAGAAAAAAAACTGCTGCCTTTCAGTTCTGCAGTTACCTGTCCATAACTGATGCCCAAAAGTAGCCAAGCTTGGCACTTCTTTCTTCTGTTCTGCTGGTGACAGTGATGTTAGAATGTGTTTTTCTTTAAAATATTAGCAACTTGATAAGTATTCAGATTAAGTTTGTGATTTGATATCAGATATTAACAGGCTAAACATATGTAGTACTTATGTAGTACAAATATTGAAATACCAAATGTATATACAGCAGGGATTCAGATTGAGGGAGTAGTGTGAAAATGCAGATGCAGAAATAAAAATATTTGTGGGTTCTTGTTTCCTTTTAAAATAGTTACTTTAATCATTGAATCAGCTTCCAGCTTTTCACCAGTTAATGTCATAAGATAGCCCCTTTAGATTAACTACTAGATCTTTATGAATCTTTGCTTTATTTCAAGATGCAAGAGAATTCAAATCCCCAAAGCAGATGAGGGTAAGCAAGACAGAGACAATCTGCTGTCAAGCTCGGAGAGAAAACTGCCCAGCTTCAGCTGTTACTCTTGTTAGGCATTTGTTAGACATCTTGTTAATGTTTATCTTTATCCTGCAATCTTTATTTGACTTAAGAAATGGTTGAACAAGACTGGCGTTTTCTAATAGAGTAGAGCATTAATTTGCTGGAATAATGCCAGGTTAAAACAGCATACAGACAAGCCCTCTTGAAAACTAGTCTGGTGCCTGGTGGATGCATGGAGGGCTGTGAGGGACAAGGAATAGAGTCATTTCTCATAGTCCCTTCACCACTTTTTTCTTGAGAAAAGGAAGAGGGAAGGTGTGCAGGACCCAATTTCCCAGGCAGAAAACTGTAGAGAAGGTGTGAGCACAAGCCTGTGTTGTTGGATGTGGAAAAAAGGAAATTCTAAGGTGCTGAAGCAAGTGAGATTTAGTCTTGACTCTCTTGAGTAATGAAGTCCTTGCATGGCTGACTCTTCTAGGGGAGATGCTGATTCTTTAGGAAGTAACACTGCTTGCTGTTCTCAAGCAGGCCCTGGGCTTGGAGGATCTTTGTCATAATGATAAGCAGTGTGGACTTGTCCTCCACTGCTAGTTTGTGTGACTGTCTAGCACCACATGCACACAGCCATTCTTCCTGAGGTTCCCTGCACAAAAGCTTTCTGTGCCGCTTGCCTCAATAGTATTTACCATGTGCAGAAATGCAGGGTTGCTGCTTAAAATCAGTTTTAATAAATGTGGACAGAAATAATGTCAGCAAAGACAGACATAAAGCAGATTTCTGTGCTTTCCTTTGTTCCTGTAACCATCTGCCATCTCCCAAAGACTCGTTCTCACCGGCTCCCTTGAATACTCACACATTTCAGTTGTTTGAATCCTATTTAGAGTTTTATTTCCCTAGCAGATCTAGGCTTGCAGTTTTGAAGTACTAATGGGCTTCTGACAGGGTTGTTTGGAGAAGTTTTAGAGTTTTGATTGGTATTTTTTGCATGCTTAGTTGGTATGTGTTGGGTTCAGTTCTCTTGCTCATGCTGTTTTTATATGGTGCTCCATATTCCATCTTGTTGAACTGGTGTGAGCTGTGACATCTGAGAGTTTGTCCATCAGTGGCAGGATGGCTACTGAATTGATGGCAACTCACATTTGAAATACTACTCAGCATCTACTTAGGATACCAAGTCACGCTTTTCAGTTTGTTTAACTTTTGACCAGTAGATTTTTCATATTTTTTATTGTTTGTTTTATCATGCATGTGTATGCAACAGTCTTCCTCTGTTTTTTCCTAGGGTTTTTTTTTCCCCATGTACTTCGTATCATCCCTTAGCTGCAGATTGGAAAGCATGTACCCCAAGCTAATCTTTGATTTAATGTTTGGCTCTTGGCTCTGTCCTGTTCTGAGCCAGGTCCGGCACTTAACCCAGTGACAGGCTGCTTGTGTGACTTGTCTGAGAATACATACTTTTATTTTTGCAAGGTATAATTTCTGTGAGATAATTCCTAGTTTGCTTTGTGTCACCTTCAGGGAGATAAGTTATTATTAGCCTTGCCCAAGCATTAAGGACTGTTCTGTGTCAGAAGGATGGACCATAGTCCCTGAGACTGAGCATTGTATTTAGTTTGCTTTGGCTACAAGCTTTCTTACCAGTTATGCTTAAAAATATTTCTCCTTCAAAGAAAGGTGTTTGGTTTTTTTTTTAAAAAAAAGAATCCACTATATTTTTTACAGTTCCAGTCTGTTCTTTGTAGGTTTCTACTTTAATTATGTATTTTTAAGACTGAAGAAGTTATCGAAAAAGTCATGCTGAACATCACATCCAAACTAATTAGCAGTCCGAGACAGAAATGAGGCATTTATATTCAGAGAAGTTAGAACTCAGAGAGTGAGATTTTTTCGTTCTGTTTCATTAAACTCTAACCAGAGCCAAGAGAGATGGGCATAACCTACGTAGTTCTGTAGAAAACAATTTGCGTCACCTTAAATTAAAACAAATAAAATGTAAATGTCAGAGATACATGACCAGTGCAGAAAACCTGTAGAAACAATGTGCATGTGCCTTCAGAAAGAAATGGGAGAAGGTTACCCCAGCAGCCACGCATCTCCTGCATGAGTATGGAGCCAAGAGCAGCCTCACCCACCACCAGTGCTGACAAGAGCCAAACAATTTTTTGAGCACTAGGTAGAGATTTTTAGTAGCAGTTGGTTAAGATTTACAGCAGGA